GGGGAAGAGGGGTGTGTGTGTGTGTGGGGAGATGGGAAACTTTGCTGGAGCTGGGCCCCTGGGACAGGAATATTCCTGGTGCCCGGGCACCACGGGCCCATAGAACTCGCCGCCCATGAGCAGGGCAATGACACAGTCACAGCTCACAGGCACTGTTAACACATGGAGTTTTGTGTCTTTTCTTTTCCTCGGTGATAACTTTATTCACCTGCATTGCAGTTGTTTTTCAATGCTTATGAAATATCCTGGAAAGGACATTTCCAGAGCTTCTTGAAAGGCAGTCTATGCTCTAATGAGGAGGGTGTGGGCTGAATCCCCTGTGCAGTAGTCCAGCTGTCAGAGATGATGGGAAAAGAAAACAGAGGGGAAAGTTACAGAGGGGAAAAGGGGATGGGAATGGTTGGATCCAAGGCAAAAGAGGGCATGTGTTATGATGTGCACAAGTCCCTTTGTCTTCAGTTTAACTACTTTTTTTTTTCTGTAAAATTCCCAAGTTTTACAAAAACAGCTGTTTGGTTTTTTTTAGGGGCTTGAAACTAGATGAAGGTTTCTAAACATCAGAGAAAGGAAGTTCTCTAACAGCCTTCCAAGGGGAGCCATGGGGGCAAAAACCCTAACTGGCTTCAAGACTGAGCTTGATAAGTTTATGGACGGGGTAGTATGATGAGACTGTCTATATAGCGAATCTGTGACTGCTAGCAGCAAATATCTCCAGTGGTTGGTGATGGGACACTAAATGGGGAGGGATCTGAGTTACTACAGAGCATTCTGTCCAGGCCAAAATGCTCAGGGTCCAACTGACTGTGATATTTGGGGTTAGGAAGGAATTTTCCCAGGGTCAGATTGGCAGAGACCCAGGGTGTGTTTTGCCTTACTCTGTAGTGTGGGGCATGGGTCAGTTTACACTTGCAAGTGGTGAATTCTCATGATTTAAGGACTTCGGTGACTCAGCCACAGGTTAGGGGTCTGTTACAGGAGTCGGTGAGCGAAGTTCTATGGCCTACAATGTGCAGGAGGTCAGATTAGATGATCATGGTGGTCCCTTCTGGCCAGGGCCGTCCCAAGACATTGTGGTGCACTGCGCAGCCCCCCCCCCCCCACGAGGGGGGAGGCTGGCCTCCGCAGGGGTGGGGGGCTGCACCCAAGATCTGTGGGGGACAGGAGCAGGCTTGGGGGGCAGGGGAGAAACTGCTTCTGCCATTAGTCTGTGAGTCTACATGAAAATACTGAATGTGTTAATCCAATACAGTACGTCAGGTAGCTATGCTTATGTGAAGAATAAATTAGTTGAAGTGTAAATGTGAGGCCATCTGTTAGGATAAGGCAATGTCTTGGAAGATGCATACAGAAGCATGCATGTGCATACATGTACATACTCTTAATGTACAGTTCATAAAACAAGCTACAGCGTTAAACTGCTTTTCCATTTGATACTTGTTACTTTTCTCTATTTGTTGCTTTTTTCCCCTGTCTTCCCGCTCCCCAAATTTAATGCTGCTATTTAGCCAGAAGACTATTACATTTTGCACTGATTTTCACCTGTTGTTTAATTTTTGGAATAAACACCAGGAAATTTTAAACAAAATAAAAACTAAAAATGAAGGGCTTTGGATATGTAGCACCTGTGTAATGCTCAGCATCTTCAGAGTGCTTTGCATGCTAATCCTTGCAGCAATCCTGTGGAGTAGGGAAGAATGGGCTACATTTTTTAAGGTATGGAAACTAAGTCATGCAGGTTGTGACTTTTCAAAGCGACAGAAGCGGGATAAGAATTCAGTACCCTGAGGCTCACAGCATCATTCTTGGTCCACTGGACCATGCTGCTTCTCAAGACTGTTTCTTACAATACATTGCGTTGTAGAGTCTTGAACTGCTGCAACATTAAGAGGCAGTTGAGATTTCCCTCAAAACATGAGATATTTTCTAGTTAGTATGGATGGTGGCCTCTTTGCAGGGACCTTCATGGGGAGGTGCGAGGATCACTAGATTTCTGTGCCGTCTTGGACAAGCAAATGATGTGTTCACACAGAAGGTGCAAGTTATGCTACAAAAACTGAGCGGTATTGCTCCTGTCTGATCTCTTAGAAATAAGTTGCTGCATGTAATGGAGAATGCAGTGCTGGTTCTAGGCAGCAGTCCAGGGAGTTCAAGGGTTCTGTTTAACTTCCAGTGTGCAAAGGTTTTGTTTAATATTTGGTGTGCAAATTCCTGAAAGGCTTATGCCCTTTTTTAAAGATTGAACGGTACAAGCATGTTCCTGTCTGCATGTGGTATTGTGCTCTTTTGATTACAGTGTAGACATACCTATAGAACTAGCTATGGAAAAGGTGACCCATTCTCTCCCTGTGACTCCTCGCAATTCTGAAATAAGGAAAAATTTAAAAAGTGGCAATAACATACTGTGCACCTCCTGAAAAGAATGCGCTTTCTCACCTTACCTTGTATAGCTCTCCCTCCCCTTGATTGCTGTAAGCTGTCTCATTTCATGTTGTATCTAACCTAGATTGTAGATTCTTCCGAACAGAGAGCATCTTGTACACCTACGGCCCATTGAGGTACTGTGTTTCTGTGAGCAGTCTACTGGACTGGGACCCAGCAGACCTAGGGCATGTACATCTCTGTGCCTCTATTTACTTTCTCACCTTTCTACTTGTCTGTTTAGGTTCTAAGCTATTATGGGCCAGGACTATCTCTTACTATGTATTTGTACAGCTCCTAGCATGAGGGAACCCCAATCTCAGTTGGATTGTTCTGTTACATTTACTATTGTTTTGGCCACCACTAAAAATACATGGCTTCATCTTCTTCCTTTGGAAGACTCTACTGCAGTCTATGGCTCTAACTTTTTGGACACGCTTCCTAATAAAATCAGACTTAAGTGTTCCCTTTCCAAATTTCATGTAATTATTTCTGTCATTCCCCACATTCCTTTGTCTGCTCACTGTTTGCCCTTCAAATATTTATATCCTCTTATCACATCTCCTCCCCTTTGGCCTTAGTCATTGGTTAATGTGCTTTTTTAAAAAAAATAATGGTTTGATCAAAAAGGTTTAAAGAGTTTAGGTTTCACTGTAGTAAGCTGAGACTAGTGACTAGAAATGGTCTGCCGTGCAGAAGGTCTGGAGGACCGGTCCAGACTAAATTAATAGTCTTCAGCATCAAAGTTTGTAGCATCAAAGGAAATGGGCTACTTTGGTGCAATTATCAGAATAATGTTAAAAGAAAAGGAGGACTTGTGGCACCTTAGAGACTAACCAATTTATTTGAGCATGAGCTTTCGTGAGCTACAGCTCACTTCATGCTCAAATAAATTGGTTAGTCTCTAAGGTGCCACAAGTACTCCTTTTCTTTTTGCAAATACAGACTAACACGGCTGTTCCTCTGAAATCTGTCAGAATAATGTTGAAATCAGATCAAAAAGTATCTTATGTCTCCATTTCTAGACTGCATTTTTGAAATCAAAGGACTGTTTTATTTTTAAAAATAAATGTTAAGACCACAAGAGGATTTCAGAGAGGAGAAAATTGGGCTGTTCTGTTTCTGTGAACAAATGAGGATTTTTTAAAGTACTTTGTCCATTTTAACTTGTTTGTAATTGGTTTTTAACCTCCGATGTCTCGAACCTGCAACCTCTTAAAAAAGGGATCCCTCCTAAGAGAGTTCCAAAACTGGCATTGGAATTTGTTTTGAGGTCCCTGTTAAGGGCTATACTGTGGTTGATTATGGTACAGTGTTTTTACAGAGCTGGATGCACCTAGCACGGAGCTCAGATACAAATGTGTTCTCTAGTGGTTGGAGGGAACAACACTTTCTCCCTGGTGCACACCAATTAAATTTAATCATGGCTTAAACAGCTGTATAAACGATTACAGTCTTTAAGCAAAATTCAACCCCGTGGCTAAGCCAAATCCACATGGAAAGCAGAATATAAAAACAAAGGCTCTTTAACACAGGTTACTCTTTTAATTTTTAAAGACCACTGTCCAAGATAATCTCCTCTTTACTTTGATTATAATTCCATTGAAAGTTTGAAATGATTACTTTCTTAACTGAGAGAACTTGCTTGCTTGCTTAAGACACTGGAATTGCTCACAGGATCTGGGACTCTTGATATCAGCTGGGTGGTCCTCTTGGTGGTGAGATGTTTGCTCATGGAAGGCAGATGGTCAAGGGAGAAGTGGGAGAGGGTTCACAGAACCCTTCTTTTAAAGAATCATGGGATTTTTGCAAACTGATACTAACAAAAAACAAGTCAATGTTTTTGGCTTCCTCCTCTTGATTAGTGCCACATCCGTTTTTGTCTTTTCAAGAGCTCTTTCTTGAACCACTCTGAGTTTCAGCTGAATAAAATCAGAAAGTAGATTTGAAATCTTACAAGCTTGGTGTGGTTCCTGTGTGCAGCGGGTGGTTACGTATCACAATTGAGCATAGTGGAGGAGATAATTCAAATAATAGCTGTTAAAGTAAATGACTTTCATCTCTGTGGTTGATGTGTTGGTTGATTGGGGAGTGCAGGGTCTCCAAACTTTATTTGAAACATAGAAGAAGCAGAAGTGCTTGTGAGTCGAAGGTCTTTGTGTTGAGTGCATTTGTTGCACACTTTTATCTTGTTGCATTTATGCTCCAGAAAATAAAGGAAAAGGAGTAAGCTGTCCTACAGTAATTGAGTACACAGACAGTGGCTCTTGTTCACCAGTAGACTTTGGAGCTCACAGATATTGCATAGAATCATAGAATATCAGGGTTGGAAGGGACCTCAGGAGGTCATCTAGTCCAACCCCCTGCTCAAAGCAGGACTAATCCCCAATTTTTGCCCCAGATCCCAAATGGCCCCCTCAAGGATTGAACTCACAACCCTGGGTTTAGCAGGCCAATGCTCAAACCACTGAGCTATCCCTCCCCCCACTGGAGTTGCTTGATTTGAAATGCTTTGGTTCCAAGTTCATCAACTACAATAATACACCACAGTTAAAGAAGTCTTTGTTTGTTTTTGTGTTTAGTTGACCCTGTTGTTTGTCCATGGGAACACTGTGAGATCTGAGCAAGAAGGTGGTTGCGAAGGAGTCTGAAAGCGCCCAGATAAAACTTTCTCATTGGTGATCACAGCTATCTGACTGGTTGGAAGCTGGATTCAGGTTGCAGAAACCTGATTTTCAGGTAAGGTATTTACTGTGGGTTCAAGCATGCATTGCTCCTTGGATGTGACTGCCGTATGTCTTCATGCTGAAATGTGGTCCAGGAGAAACTACACCAAGTCTTCTTAAATTACAGTAAAAACAGCAAGAAGTCCTTGTGGCACCTTAAAGACGAACAAATTTATTTGGGCATAAGCTTTCATGGGTAAAAAACACTTAATCAGATGCATGGAGTGAAAAATACAGTAAGCAGTATGTATATTATAGCACATGAAAAGATGGGAGTTGCCTAATCAAGTGTGTGTGTGTGGGGGGGTCGGTGCTAATGAGGCCAATTCAATTAAGGTGGAAGTGGCCTATTCTCAACAGTTGAAAAGAAGGGCTGAATATCAACAGAGGGAAAATTACTTTTGTAGTGCTAACAAGGCCAATGCAATCAAGGTGGACGTTACCCATTCCCAACAGTTGACAAGAAGGTGTGGTGAGTATCAGCAGGGGAAAATTACTTTTTATAGTGACCCATCCACTTCCAGTCTTTATTCAGGCCTAATTTGATGGTGTCCTGTTTGCAAATTAATTCCAGTTCTGCAGTTTCTTGTTGAAGTCTGTTTTTGAAGTTTCTTTTGTTGAAGAATTGCCACTTGTAAGTCTGTTATTGAGCGTCCAAGGAGACATTGAAGTGTTCTCCTTCTGGTTTTTGAATGTTACGATTCTTGACGTCTGATTTGTGTCCATTGATTCTTTAGCCTAGAGACTGTCCGGTTTGGCCAATGTACATGGCAGAGGGGCATTGCTGGCACATGATGACATATATCACACTGATAGATGTGCAGGTGAACGAGCCCCTGATGGTGTGGTTGATATGGTTAGGTCCTATGATGGTGTCCCTTGAATAGATATGCAGACAGAGTTGGCAAGGGGGTTTGTTGCAGGGTTTGGTTCCTGGATTATTGTTTTTGTTGTGTGGTGTGTAGTTGCTGGTGAGTATTTGCTTCAGGTTGGGGAGCTGTCTGTAAGCAAGGACTGAGGCCTGTCTCCCAAGGTCTGTGAGAGTGAGGGATTGTCCTTCAGGATAGGCTGTAGATCCTTGATGATGCGCTGGAGAGGCTTTAGTTGGGTGCTGTAGGTGACGGCTAGTGGCGTTTTGTTACTTTCTTTGTTGGGCCTGTCCTGTAGTAGGTGTCTTCTGGGTACCCTTCTGGCTCTGTCAGTCTGTTTCTTCACTTCACCTGGTGGGTATTGTAGTTGTAAGAATGCTTGATAGAGATCCTGTAGGTGTTTGTCTCTGTCTGACGGATTGGAGCAAATGCGGTTGTATCTTAGAGCTTGGCTATAGACAATGGATCGTGTGGTGTGGTCTGGATGAAAGCTGTAGGCAGGCAGGTAAGTATAGCAGTCAGTAGGTTTCTGGTATAGTGTGGTGTTTATATGACCATCGCTTATTTGCACTGTAGTGTTCAGAAAGTGGATCTCTTGTGTGGACTGGTCCAGGCTGAGGTTGATGGTGGGATGGAAATTGTTGAAATCATGGTGGAATTCCTCAAGGGACTCCTTCCCATGGGTCCAGATGATGAAGATGTCATCAATGTAGTGCAAGTAGAGTAGGGGCATTAGGGGACGAGAGCTGAAGAAGAGTTGTTCTAAGTCAGCCATAAAAATGTTGGCATACTGTGGGGCCATGTGGGTACCCATAGCAGTGCCGGTGACTTGAAGGTATAAATTGTCCTCAAATCTGAAATAGTTGTGGGTGAGGACAAAGTTCAACCACCAGGTTTGCCGTGATATTATCGGGGATACATTTCCTGACGGCTTGTAGTCCATCTTTGTGTGGAATGTTGGTGTAGAGGGCTTCTACATCCATAGTGGCTGGGATGGTGTTTTCTGGAAGATCACCGATGGGTTGTAGTTTCCTCAGGACGTCAATGGTGTCTCAAAGATAGCTGGGAGTGCTGGTAGCGTAGGGCCTGAGGAGAGAGTCTACATAGCCAGACAATCCTGCTGTCAGGATGCCAGTGCCTGAGATGATGGGGTGTCCAGGATTTCCAGGTTTATGGATCTTGGGTTAGCAGATAGAATACCCCTGGTCGGGGCTCTAGGGGTGTGTGTCTGAGTAGATTTGTTCCTGTGCTTCTTCAGGGAGTTTCATGAACAGATGGTGCAGTTTCTTTTGGTAACTCTCAGTGGGATCAGAGGGTAATGGCCTGTAGAATGTGGTGTCAGAGAGCTGCCTAACAGCCTCTTGTTCATATTCCAACGTATTCATGTTGACTACAGCACCTCCTTTGTCAGCCTTTTTGATTATGATGTCAGAGTTGTTTCTGAGGCTGTGGATGGCATTGTGTTCTGCACGGCTGAGATTATGGGGCAAGTGATGCTGCTTTTCCACAATTTCAGCCCATGCACGTCGGCGGAAGCACTCTATATAGAAGTCCAGTCTGTAGTTTCAACCTTCAGGAGGAGTCCACGCAGAATCCTTCTTTTTGTAGCGTTGTAGGAAGGTTTCTGTGGGTTAGTGTGCTGTTCGGTGGTGAGTTGGAAATATTCCTTGAGTAGGAGACAGCGAAAGTAGGATTCTGGGTTACTGCAGAACTATATCATGTTCGTGTGGGTGGTGGGGCAAAAGGAGAGACCCCGAGACAGGACAGAGTCTTCTGCTGGCCTAAGAGTATAGCTGGATAGATTAACAATACTGTTGTGGCCCCTTGTGGCATGTAGGAGTTTAGATAGTTTAGTGTCTTTTTTTTCCTCTGTAGAGAAGCAAAGTGTGTGGTGTAAATGGCTTGTCTAGTTTTTGTAAAGTCCAGCCATGAGGAAGTTTGTGTGGAAGGTTGTTTTTTTATGAGAGTCTCCAGTTTTGAGAGCTCATTCTTGATCTTCTCCTGTTTGCTGTATAGGATGTTGATCAGGTGGTTCCGCAGTTTCTTTGAGAGTGTGTGGCACAATCTCTCACCATAGTCAGTGTGGTATGTTGATTGTAATGGATTTTTTTACCTTCAGTCCTTTTGGTGTTTTCCAACATATCTGGGGCAACATACACCTCCATTGCTTCTTTGCATATGTGCTAAAGAACTCCTGTTCCGTTGGAACACTGGCACTTAGCAGATGGCTGCTGCATACTACTCCTGTGGAATGCAGTCGTCTGCTGGTAAGGTATTTTTAGAGTGCCAGGCACTGAAATACCTGGGTGCTGAACATATGAAAAGGGCCTAAAACTTCAAAGGGGTTACATGTGTCCAGGGAGCCCTGACAACTCTTCTGTCTTGCTGAGCTTGCTTCCACTGGGTCTGAACTACAGAAGTGTCCTCTCTTCCTCTGAAAGATCTTTATTCGGGTAGGCAGGTGTTGAGCTCGTGCGATTCCAGAATTGGTGTCTCCCCTGGAACAGATCAGACCAGCTGCCCAGGGAGGCATGGTTTGAGACCCTGATTGAGAGTTCTAGCAGATGACTGAAAGTCTAATGGCTCCAGCTATGCCCATCCCCAAAACATGCCTATTTCTTACAGCCACTTCGGCTCCAGATGTGGTTAGTTCCCATATTTACAGTCTTCTGCCTGCTATAAAACACTCAGCCTTTTCCCCTATTCTAGTTGTGTTGTGGTTTGGTGAGGGAGAGGTATTGCGGCACTTGGGTGTCTATTGGAAAGTAAAAAGAAAAGGAGGACTTGTGGCACCTTAGAGACTAACAAATGTATTTGAGCATACGCTTTCGTGAGCTACAGCTCACTTCATCGGACACATTCAGTGGGGAGATTAGTGACTGGGGATTTCAGGACAAGCCTGTAGAGTTTCCCTGCTTGTGGGTGAAGAGAGATGAGCTCCAGCTTTCCCAGTCCTGTTGGGGGCGGGGAAAAAATGTTTCCTCTTCCTCTGTCTCAGGAACTGTTCCTAGTATGTCCCAGAGAAAGCTGGGTGGCTAAAGGGCAAGTCTGTGGCAGAGCTTAGACTAGAACTCAGATCATCTAACTCCCAGTCCCTTGCTTAAACCACTGTGTGAGATTTCCTCCTATAGTGTATCCAAATGTAACCGCAGGAACAAGTGGGCAGAACATAATCACCTCTGCTGGGCCATCCTAGATGCAGAATTACTGCAGCCCTGTGCCCCTTGTTACTAATTTGGAAAGGAAGCCGTTTTCCCTAGCCTCCCCCCTTCCCATTGCCCTTATTAAAATCTGAGTTGTGGGAAAACGCTCGCATGACTTTATAGAATCCAGATGTTCTGTCTGGAAGCAGGAAGCCCAAATGCTACTGCTGACCTGTGAAGCTAAATATAGTGACAGCGTTACCACCAGCGTCTTCCTCAGTTCAGTGTGCAGCTCCTCTCACCAGATGCGCCTTGGTGGTTGGAGGCAGATGGAACAGGGGGCAGGCAAACAGCTCGTTAGCTTGATCCCTCAGTATTTTAATTGATTTTGTTTTTATTACGGTAGCGCCTGAAGGTTCCAGCGGAGATCAGGGCCCCATTATGTTAGGCACTGAAAAGACATACAATAAGAGACAGCCCCTGCCCAAAGAGCTTACAATCAAATTTAAGATAAGACAGAGCAAGTGAGTGTAACAAACCGTTGGAGGGAGGAGGAAGAAAAGCACAGGCCAGGTAGGTGCATAGTGTGATAGGCCCAGACCATGAAAAGTGTTACTCCTTTATTATTAGTTATCAAGATAATCAGCTTTCCAAGAGCTCAACCTCACCATTGTCATGTGGCTGACTTCCTGGGGACATTGCAGCTGAGGTGGGTCTGGATGGGGGAACTGAATGAGGCCAAAGCATTCAAGGACCGCATTCCACACACAAGGGGTTTGTTGTGGAAGAAAGCACAGAGGAATCTGGGGAAGGAAGTGGGCAAATGGGCATTCGGGGCTGGCATTGCTGGCGAAGCGGAGGGGGTGGGGAGCAACATGATGAGAGTAGCTTTTGTTTCATGCAGTGTAGATTAGAGTAATGTTGCTATGGCCACAAATCTTCAAATAGCTGCAGCCAATGTATGAATTTCCTCTTTGAATACATCCTAACACTGAAATCTG